AGTGTTGAACTTGGCTTGTGGTCTATCTGCAGCTCCTGATTCTCTGAAAGCTTTTAATTTGATTTGGATTGTCCCTTGTACGAGATAGTGGTCTGAGCCAACGTCTGCTCCTCTTCTTACTTTTGTGTCCAGCAGGCTGCGCCTCCACTTCCTTGAGATTGAGATGAAGTCGATTTGGTTTTTGGTTCGCCCATCTGGTGACACCCATATAGCCTTGTGGATATCCTTGTGTTTGTATACGCTGCCACCAATCACTAGTTCATTGAAGGCGCAGAAGTCGGCGAAGAGTTCTCTGTTTTTATTCATTTCTCCGAGAGCTTCTCTACCCATGATGAGTTCCCTTCCTGTGTTGTCTGATCCCAGTTTGGCGTTCATGTCTTCCATTAGTATTTTGATGTCACCAGCTGGAGTATTGTCCATTGTTGTCTGCAGTTGTCTGTAGAATTCTTCTTTCGTTTCGAGGTCTGCGTTGTTGGTCGGTGCATAGCATTGTATAATTGACACTTTCCTTCCTTTGGAGTTGAATCTGGCGGTTATTATCCTGGGCGAGATCGCCTCCCATTGCATCAGGGCCTTCGTTGCCGTTGGTGACATCATGATAGCCACGCCCTCGGTGTGCGAGTGGTTATCTTCTGGGTGACCGGAGTAGATCACTGACTCACCCGTTGACAATTTAATGAGTCCACTCCCGTTCCATCTGGTTTCACATATTCCCAGTACTTGAATTCTGTATCTTTTCATTTCGTTTGCGATCTGGGCAGCTTTGCCAATCTCGTACATGGTGCGGACATTCCATGTCCCCACAACGACTTTTTCTTTTGTCTCAAGGAGATACATCGTGCTGAAGTTTCTGTAGCAGGTTTGTTTACAGGGTGGGGTTGCTAGCCTCACGCCTGAAATCATAATATATAGTTAAAATTTAATAACATAAATGACAAACTTTCATACCATATATCTTCTAAACATCCTTGATATAAGTATAAAACTTGGGCACTGTGGTAGAGTATAACTCCATTTTGGATAAGAGTTTATTTTGATAAGTCACACATTGTTACACAGCAATATTAACTGATGACGTTTTGAGCACAAACTATTGCTCGTAATCATATCAAGTTACTCACACAACTTTTTTCCTTCATTTATATACATGTGTGGAATTGACTAGATATGTGAATAAAAATCAATATGGGATAACGTACATTCAGAAATAATAATATGAGTGTTATTGATAAATTACAATCAGATGGGAAATAAGACGAATGTTTTTATAGTCATAATAAGTAACTTGTTAGAATGTTATGATGTACTTGAATTGAAATAGAATTTTAGGATTATTTATCATCCTCTTCTGATTTGACCGGTGGTAATAATATCTTCCATATTTCTGATATTTGCATTGAGTGATTTCTGTTGCATGTGTTGGATGTAGTCTCAATGAATCAGGATTCAGTAATCAATCTCTCTCTCCACCTAAATAGATTACTTCTTAGAATCTTAACCCTCTCGCACCCTATTGTGTGGTTGTATGTTGAATCATGCAGGGCAATTGCTGAGCTTTTTTCTAAATTACTCATCTTCTTGGGGTCAACCATTCTTACCTTAGCTAAATTCTTGTGTTCCGACAATCTGATTACCCCCGATCTACTAGTTTGACCTATGTAGTTGACTCAACTCCCAGTCATTGCAAGGTATTTTGTAAATTAGATTATTTTGTCTAGTTGAGTCCACCGGGTCTTTTAGCCTACAGAGTTTGTCCTATCTGAGTGAGTTGGTAGGTTTGAATGCCACCCTAATTCCTTTATTAAGAATCCTACGTTAGGTCTCAGATGTCTCTTCCTTATATGGTATAACAGTGGATGACTTATATTCTATCCTATTTATGTTATCACTACTAGTTTCACAATTATTTTTATTTTGCTTTCGGCCTTTTTCGATCTTCCTAATGATTTTTCTAGGATAGTTATTTAACACCTTCTTCTATCTGTTTTATTTCATCACTTAGGTTTTTTTTTGTACTAATTAGTGCTACCGCTTGGTTTGTTAGACACTTAACTAAGCCTGCCTTAACAGTTAACGGATGAGATGAATTAAAGTTTAAATATCTATTAGACTGCGTTGGCTTATTACAAACGCTAGTGTGTAGTTTACCTTCTTCCGTTCGTTTGATTTCACAGTCTAACAGCTAATTCTCCTTGTTTATTTTCCGATTCAAATGTGAATTTTATTCCCTCCACTAGTGAGTCAATATGTGTCAAGAAGCTAGAGATTTGTTCTGTTTTTAACACTGTGAAAGTGTCATCCACAAATCTCCACCATATTTTTCGAGTAGGATTAAATGTATTCAGAGCAATATTTTCCCAGCTGTCCATAAATATATCCGCTACGATAGGGGATATTGGTGATCCCATTGCTACACCTTCTGTTTGTCTGTATATTTTTATTTTCATTTTTCGTTTTTAGTCAAAGTACTGGAATTTCTGTTAAAGTAGTTAAAGTTTATGCACTGGGATGCTCTAAATAAACTATACTTCCTTTTGAATAAAGTGTTGATTTTATATTTATCCCCTCGGTTTCGAAATAATACTGCAGAATATATTTAGTGTTGCTTCCATGTATTATCTAAAAATGATTACGCTGATATCATTCTTCACTCACGGAAGGTATCTTTACATCTTTCACATGCAATATTGCTTTTGTGAGGATATGGATTGATTCATCACAAAATAACTCTAGTCAGAGAATCATTAAAAATCAAAGATCATTGGAAAGTTCTTTTGTCGTAGCTTGGGGGATTTAGCACCCATGACCCCACTGGAGATTCAAATTTGGACTTTTATGTTATGAGGCAAGTCCATTGGTTCTCTTCTCATTTTTACTGATTCTCTAACTGACTTTGGTTCGTGACGAAATTCACATTGAAATTATAAGTTTAAAGTCGGAATTCACTTACTTTTGACGTCAGTACATCACCACTACCATAGTTTTCGGCCTCTAGACAATTACCTTAAAAATTTGTGTAACACAATTTGCGTCATCACAATGATGAGGACGATAAGATATACGTTCTCCGAAAATGCATGTCGGTGTTGACATCTCTGCAGATTATGATAACTAGACCAGAAGATGTGAGTTAAAAAAGACGTGAAAATCCAAAGAAAATTATTTGCTTTCAAAATCAAGCTTTTTAGCTTTTATTAGAGTCTAATTTCTGTGGTGGTCTTGCTTCATCATGGTGAGGCTTTTTTCTGCATGTATGATAGAATCAGTGGCATTGCGATAAGCCGTGAATGAACCACAATAACTAATACATCAGCTATCTAACCATAGAAAAGTTCACGAACCCATCAGCTATTTTACCTGCTTCACTCAAACCCGCCAAACTATAAACAGAACGCTGCCATGTCTAACTAATGATTCTGTTATAAAATTATCAATTAAACATCTTCAATCTTCAGCTTATACTGACTGTAGCCACATCAAAATGTGGTTTAAGGTCACTTGTGCAAAATCCAATGACCTTTTTTAGTGACATTTCTAAGGAAGGTAATACATTTTCCAGATGCATCTTTCAGTGCATACCAATTAAGGGATATAATTAAACGTTTTTGTTAAAAGTTCGGAATGTAGTTAAGTGGCGTCGGTGGCACAGCGGTTAGGACTCTCAACAACCATGCATATTGTACAGGTTCGATCACCTGCAGACGCACACCTGATATCAATGGTCGGCCTACAAAATTTGGGCTGCCGATATCACATGCTGAAAATTCCATACTTGTAGCAAAAATACTGTGTGGTTTCAATCCATAATAAAAAAAGTACGCCCTCTCATTTTGAATAACACGTTCTGCATATTATACATACAGTCAACTTTATCTTTTGATTTTTTAAACACGCTGGAATTATTTTAGGTAATTTTATAATGACGCAGTCTGACTCGACGCTCAAATTATTCCAGGAATTTCTTCGGGATATTTATGAACTTATTGCCATTTGATTGATTAATTGTTCGGCTTTCCAAATAGCGATCTAGTAGTAATTAGCTTTTTCCCTCTGAACAGTTAATTAGCTAGATAATCTACATGGTAATACAACTAGGATAGATCTTTTATCCCCTCCTCATCCTATAAAGGAAAGCTGTGTTTTGAATACTGTTTCTGTACTGATTGTGTGTATGTTGGAATGTCAACATCTAATATAAACATAAGCAGTTTTTGAAATCCAGATCAATAGTTCATTGCCGATAAAATGCTCCGCAGCAGTATAACTAAATGTATTGAAATTATTTTATTAAGCTATGGACAGAAGTTGGGATTTGTTTTAAACGTAATCCCCATTATGTTATGATAAAAATTAGAAAACCACTAGGATATACAATACAGTCAATAGTTCTAGATGAGACTCTTTATTATTGATTTTCCTTAAGAGAAGAAAATAATGGTTCCCAGTAATTGTGATCCAGCAGCAGATATGTCATATTATTCAGTGAGTGGCTTGATGTACAATTTTCGGATAATTTCAGAATTCATTGAGACCAGTATTCGTTGTTATCAGTGAAGATTCGCCTCTAAAGTGTTACCTAATTAACGTGCCGAATATAAATCTCTGAGCGAATTGGTGACCAGTGTTCAGCGACTATTCAAGCTGTGCATTCCTTAGTGTTTTAGTCTGTGTTGTAATTCTTTATCTCTTTCCTATTCCTTGTATCCATTCTCTACTTTTGTAACTGAAAAATTTAAAACAATGCATAATGACAACGTAGGGGATTTTTCTACTTGTGCAATTATTTGTCGCTTTCTGTATGTTCGTGTGTGCGTGTGTAAATGTGGATTAGTTTAGGGTAGGCTTGTACGTGTTTATCTCACTATTAATGTGTCTGTGCATTTGTCTTTCTTTCGCGTTCATAATAGGTTTCTCACCTAGACTTAATCGATAACCTATTGATAGGCTCATGAATACAAATATATACACGTTTGTTTTAAAACATCCATAAACTCAGCTAATACAATTGCAATTTGTGTTTATTATTAGGTAATTGGAAAACGTTATTTTAATTAGTTTTTTTGTCCTTTGAAACAAATAAAGGTACACTCAAAATTTGTCAGTACATATTGCCGACTTACAGCATAAAGATCAGTAATAGTAATTCATCATTTCAAACAGGAACTAACAGTATACTAACGGAGTGATCAATAATAAGTGTAAATGTATGAAGCACATTGCCTGTCAGATAATCCTCTTAAAAATTTTCATTATGCCAAATGAGAGATGATTCACTCTTTAAGAGTAATAAATCATGACTAACATAAAACATAAATTAAGCGTTCCTTATGCTAGAATAAAAAAAGCACGAAGATATAAATTCACAGCAATCGAATAGTTATAATGAAAAATTCATTGTTTCGTCACGAGTTGTTGGCATCAAGAGGAAATATTTATGTCTGCGTAAACGATCACAGCTGTCATCGTTCAACTCTTCTTCTTTCTCCACATCATCGTCCACCACGTCAGCTTCACCGAATTTAACAGTAACGCCTTCATCAGAATCAAAATCAGGGTTTGGATTATCTCTAAATATGTCTGAATGCAATGACAGTAATACAAATAACAACAATGTTAATAACACTAATGATAGTTCCAGTGAGAATGAAAATATCTCCAATTCTCGCAAATACTTCTTAAACAAATTTCTTATGGATAATAAATTTTGTTTTAACTTTAATGGTATTAAACAAAAAAGTCACTGTGATAAAGTGATTAAAAAACAGTTGGGATTTCCACTTGCGCGGCAGTTTTCATCAAAGCAGGTATGTCGTTTTGTGCATTGCGGCGGATTAATTTACCATGGATTTTTTAAAGCTTAAATTATACCACGAAGGAATTCATATATTGACAATATATTCGCATTTCAGTAGAGTCGACTGATACCTTGTTTGAGTTAAAAGACATTTTCATGAAAAGAGGTAACTGCCTCAAGATTTTAGACTGAAATTTAGCATAAACAGTGTAAAACACAGATGAAGTCACCTTACAGTACGGCTAAAGACCTAAAGTCATTGCTTTGGTTACATATTATGAACAACCGCAGCCTTGAAAAGTGTTTTACCAAAATCAGACAATTTCCCTATTGCGTTCAATTCATTTCTATAAAATTTATAATGACAATAGTCTAAACTTTTGAGAAAATTTTAATGATATGAAAGGAGTTTTGGTGTAACTGCGTTATAAGTGGTCGAATCCTTAATGCATTTCCCGCATTTTATACCTTTGTTTAATACGAAAATTTGCGAAATGTTTCCTTGAAAAAGAGAAGACCTTCAGCGAAGAGACTCTTTTCGGTGAATTCCTTCACATAGCTGTACAATCGCATTTATATATAATTATTTGTGTGTGTGTGCACATGAGGTTTGTCAAGTTTAGATAATTGATCAGGTAATACAGGAATGATCTAATATAGAAACAAAGTTAATCAGGCAGCAACTTAGATCAGGGTAGCAACAGAGGTAATTACAGGTAGAGACTAAGTAGAAGTGAAATTGAGTGAATAAGTTGGATGACGTAACATAAATGACTAGAAATTGAGCGTTGTTCAAGTCAATAACAGTGGTAGTGAGGTGTAGAAATTAAATCGGGTGGGGGTAGAGAACAAGAAAGTTGACAAATGTAAAATATTACAATTGAGAAGACAAAATAATACTAATGAAGAGACAGAAAAATGATTAGGTAGAATTTACTTGTCGGCTAATAAGATAGATTACGTCCATTGCAAGTGTAGTGATTGAACGAACTTCTTCTGTATGCAGAGTTCAGGACTTAGCAAGTGAATCGCCATTGCTTCTGCAGTTTGAAGAAGTTTGATTCGTACACCTTTAGGAAGACTACTTCTTACTCTGTAGGCGACTTTGAAGTTTGTTTGCGGTGTAGCTTGGTGTCCGGACTCTATCAGATGTTCTGAGATGGAACTGCGGGGCATCGATTTTCTCCTTTGTAAAACCATGTTGGTAAGTGTTCGGTGATACGTTTGGAAAGCGAGCGCTGGGTTTCCTTTACAGAATAACAAGACATTATTTATTTTCACTTCAATTTTCACTTTCCCGTTTATTGATTGGACTAAAGTGTTCGGCCTATGTCAACAAGTTAGCTCCCTGTGCGTATGCATTTCATCCTATCTTGGGCTCATCGTCTGGATGTGCCTATATTCCCCAGTGAGTGATGATGTTCCTACAAAATTACTTCAAGTTAATTCCCAGGCATCGTCAAAGTATCAGCAGAAGGAGCCAACATGCCAACAGAGGCCCAACACTTCAGTTGAATCAATAGTAGTATAGTATAATTTAACGAATACTACATCATGACTGAGGTGAGGTGAGTTACATAGGTTCAACTAGTAGACCGAGCTCAATTAGATTATTGGAACATAACAATTTAGCTAGACCTAGAATGATTGACCCTGCTAATTTAAATAACCTAGTAAAAAGCTCAGCCATTGTTCAGGATTGCATTAAATTCACTTGCATGTAATCACACAAGGGAGTGGAACAGGGTGAAAGTATTGAAAGATAATATAGTTAGATGCAGAGAGAAGTTAATCAATGAAGTCTTGTTTATCGATTCAACACCCCAGGCGTTTAATCAGAATGACTCTACGCCTAAACTGGAGACATGGAAAGTGGCAACAAACAACGTGTAGAAGAGGGGGAGAGAGAAAGAGAATTAACGTCAGTAGAAAGTTTGAGCATTGTAAAATAGATAAAATAAATCATAATTATATTCCAATAGCTTGCGCACGTGTAAACTATTGAAATATAATTATGATTTAAGAGAAAGAGAAGAAATACGTGCATATATAAGACAAATTGTGAAGCTGTGTAACTAAAATGGTAAGATTATGAACACTGATTTATTCTGGAAATGTCATCCAGTTATTAATACTGCATTACTGTCTGATATTTGAAATAAACTAATTTATTATGGAATTGCATTCTATCACAGTTCCACACTTACATTAAGGATGCTCAATCAAATTACTCTAAAATAGTAGAATAAAGTAGAAATACTCATGTCCATTCTGAGAATTATGAAACTGAAACTATGAGTTGCGTATCCAAAAGAAAGGCATGCAATCTTTATTTCTATCAGTCTTAAAGTTTAGCGTGTATTTCACTTAATATTTTCTTCTGCTATTCAGCTAATAAATTTCAAATTTTCAGTTTATTTATATTCTTCAGAATAATAACTTTGAAAGTAAATTCACCTGGAATTTTTCTTCCGCTTATGTTTTTGTGAATATGCGTGTAAGAAAATGTGCTGAGTGAAGAGATCGACTTCATTTCAATCGCTTTTTAGCTTATTGATGTAAAATCAGTTCGTTTTGTGATAACATTTTGTCAGAAAACTAAGTGTGAGTAACGAAAACTTCTCCTGAGAATATAATTTATTTAAACACACAAAAATAAACAAAAATTCACTGACTAAAATGGCAGAATAAATGAAATTGTAGATAAACCTAAGTGGCATACTAAATAGCCTTTAAAACGCTTCAACCTCTCCAAATGGAATCGAAATTATTTATACATCATCCCGAACATTTCAGTCTTCTGTTTAAATCCATTGATCTATAAGTTACATAAGGATGCCTGATATGAAAGTGTTTCAAAGTGATTACACTTGACTAGTAATTTTGTATGCATTTATGCTTTTTATTTTTTTGTTTAACTCGATGAAAGATGAAGTTTTTACTACGCTGTGTGAGTGACTTTTCAACAGGCTGAAAAAAGACTAAAGATGCAAAAATAAAATAAGTGGCTGCAAAACTTTCAGGCGTTTGGAAATATATCTTTCACATTTAGGAGCTGAATATTCCAGCAGTGTTAGGATGAAATTTGACACCAAACTACCAAACTATTAATAACATATAGTTCAGCTATGTGAACACTATAATTGCTGAAAAGTTCTAGCATTGCACATGACTGCTGCAAGCATCCAAAGAAATACACCAAACGTAGAGTGCCTGTAGAATTCATTAGGTTCTTTTGTCGACTTTTGCTTCAACTACAAACTATAACAACTAAGCTAAATTGTGTTTACTTAAAATTGCATGAAAAGATTAGTCAATGCGCATGAATTCTACAGTTGATGATAGCCTTGCTTGATAAAGTTTTAAGCTATAGATTTTAAATGAAACTTAAATCATTGTAAGTTGTTTAAGCAATCGAAATGTACAAAAAAATGATTGAACCAGTGTGAGATAATGCTAAAAGGCTTTCATCATATTCGACCTATGCATATTTCCATTTGATTACTACTATGCTGAAACTAGTCACCGATAAATGTGTTAAAGTATTGGTTATATTCTTAAGAAATCAAGTACAGTCGGATACATTTACTGTATTTTTTTCGAAGCGGAAATCTACTCCACAATAATTAAAAGAACATATATTTTTCTCTTAATTTTAAATTTCCATGGGTTCAAATTAGAATAAGAAAGGTTTTCTCAACATTTTGAAAACTTGTTTGTCTCATCTGCATATATACGTATATAATACATTATCGCAGCATCAAAGAGTGTGTTTCTTAAGTTGTATTACTAAAATTTCCAGTATCAGGAACAATCAAGAGGTCTTAAACTAAGTGATGCAGAAACATTAAAGAGGTGGACACGTTTTCAGTATGTGTCTATTTCACTCAATGTAGAACCTATTGCATGTTCCTCATACTAGAAATTTTAAAGATGCAACGTTGGAAATATTGGATTTGTTGCTACGATAGTTTATTATATATATATATATAGCTGGAGAATATCAATGAAAAGAGTAACTCCTCGCCGAGCTCTTCTTCTATATTTTGAACACTAATGTTCTGCGATGGTGACGTAATTGATGTAATTATTTTAAACTGAGAAAAATCCATTGAAAGGATCCACTTATAGCCTTGAAAGCAAAATACTTCAGGAGGTACATATTTTACTGTGTCATATTACTTTCTCCTTGACAACAAATTCGAGCTTTGTTTTCAACTAGTTTAGTCCTCCATTTTGCATTAGATGGATTGTTTTTTGCCTTTAGAGGTCAACACTCTTTCTTCAGATTATCGTAAAAACATTTGAATGAACATTCCTTTTTACATTTTACTGGACCACAACCCAGTGACTTCATTTCCTCTAGCTAACTATCATGTGTTTGTTCAGACATTGATTTAAGGCTGCTTGTGTACTTGGAGCATTTGTTATATAACAAGTACTCATTGTCTATTGGATTTTCGAAATAGCATTCCAGCTTACGATGGATGAATTTTCTGACATTCTACAAGAAAATTAAATTTGTTTTTAGAATAATATAGTTTAAATTGAAGCCAAAGTCTCATTGGAGATTTGTAGGTTGAGTAGAATATTATCCACTGTTAAAAATTAGTGAAATGATAACTTGGTTAGTAATATTCATTGTATTGACTTGAATAAAGTATATCTGTTACCAGATCTAGTGATTACTGGTGTGCGTTCTGATAAGTTATGAACTCAGTAGGAAAGCATAAAATATAAAAAAATCCTTCAATAAGGGATTGAATTATAAACATTCTTAGTTAGTGAGTTATTTTATGATACTGAAATTTCTACGTATGCTGCAATTCTCCAAGTTGTTAGTAATTTCAAATTTTTCCTAAAATAACTGTTTTCTTTATATTTTTGGTAGGTAACATTGGATTTATTGGACAATATTGGGCCGAATCAATTGTGTTCCATACTGCACGAAGTAATTCATGAATTGTTTAGCACAAGCGTAAGAACCTGAATATTATTCTATGGAAATTTGTTTGTTTGTGATATGCAGTCGTATTCACTCAGTTAACTTTTTGAAAGCTTGTTTCTTTTTATTTATGTGAACTGTCACCATCAGCTTCGCTTGATGAGTTTCATAGAGTGGCTTTAAACAGAATATACCATGTGTTCTGCATAGAATAATTGAGATTCACAACTCAAATAAAAACCACTAGACTGACAGTTCGAATTACACGGATATTAAGTACTGTCCAATCAGTTCTGTTTGCAGTTGACAGTTAGAAATATGATTAACGGTAATTATAACAGACTTGGTGGCAGAGAATTATTTGCTCCAAACCTTTCCCTCTGTCCAAAAGAATAATCCTGTAATGTCATTAAGTAAATATTATTCCATACCATCATAAGTGTTATGACGGTTACTTTACGCTGTTTATTATGTATTGAATAGAAACGTTTGCTATCCTTTTCAATATCAATATTCCTTTTTCTCTTCTGATTGTTTCACTCTGCTTTCTCATTGTGTGGTCATTTTACGACTTTACAACAAAAATACTTCGCCTACTTATTATATCACATTATTTGTTGAACAAATAATTGTTATTCATTATTTAATGATTGAGAGTAAACTGTTGACACAGACAAATTACTGATTTTTATTCTACGGAGAATATCAAAGGGAATAAAGTATTCGAACAGTCGATAGATGTTGTATCATAAAATCATCAGTCTGACACAGATAAATCAAAGCATTATGTAAATAAATCTTTGATATATCTCTGACCTATTTCAGTATATATGAAGGGAAACACCTCAGTGGACGATTACTGGTTGAATTAGGTAAAAAATGAAGGTTTTGGTATATACCCTCGGTGAAATGAAGGGTTCTTAGCAGCGCCAGACTGAAATAGCTTTTGTAGTGTTTATATCACGTCAAACCAATTTAAGCTCACTTTGGATTAACATTCTTATTGACACACTATGAATTTTAGGCGTGTGAGATTGACGTCACTCGTGATATCTGACAGACCTAAACGATATGTAGAACTATGAAATGATCAGAGATCCATATTCTCACAGTCTATTGAGAGAACTAGAGAGATAAACAGTCTAAGACGTAGATGCTTAGTGTCCTACGAACGACATTGTTTATATTAGGTTTGGTTTTAGGTATGATACTGTCACGGAAATCCTGTTCAGATATATTCGAAGGAAGCGTTTTCAACATGTAAAAAGCCATCTCTTTAGTACACGAACCCTGACTGTCCCACCTTTCTGTTATTGGCATGAACAATATTACTGTGGTTACGCAGGATTACTAACTTGTTTGCGAGCTGGAGGAGAGAGGTAGCGTAATCAATGCATTTTCAGTGGGACCTCTGGTCAGCACCAGCACACAGTTTTCAATCGAATGGTCTAAAATGAAAGCAGTTTCCTCAAAATACGCATAGTTTCCCCACACAAACATGGTGAAGTCACTCAGGATTCACTTCTTAAGTCTTGACTTCTCAGTATAAAGGAAGGACATTGCATCTCTTATTCTACCGTTTCCTCATCTCTTCACCTCCCATTTTTTTATACTTTTATTTACAGATTTACAAGTCAACTGTTATGTTATCTAACATTATTTTGGTATCAAAATAAACACTGAACTATTGAGCCTGACATGTAAAAAGTGACTTACGGCCTTTATATGCCATAGCTAAATTGATGATTTCACTCTTATAGGTTATGATGCACGTTTTTCTGCTTTTGAGAATCTCCATTAGAATAAATTTGGGTTCATAGAATGAATGCTAGGCAGTGTTTCTAACTTAAATAAAGATTTTGAACTACTTACCTGTCGTATGAATCAGTGTTTTCATTGTTTATGCATTCCCATTGAAATATCTGAGAAGTTTTATGCACTTTATTTACTGCCTAACTAATCACCTCTCACAACCTGTCTCTAGCTCTACCACATTCGTTGATAACTAACAATACTGATTTTTACCATAGCTTTTATAACAAGTGCATAATGCATACACTGCAAAGTTATTGAAAAAAAAATTGTACACGTCATATTACTTGAAAAGTGCTGATCAGCAGTCGAATTTGGGTTGTAAATTTCTTTCTGTTTACTCATCCATGACAGCCACGTGTTGGGAAACGAGCATGAACTATTACTTCGAGAAACTTAGAAGCTTCCGATTGTTAGTTTTACCGAAATGAAATGATAATAATTCAAAATGAAAAATACCTTAAATGACCGATATAAAGAATTTTCCGTATTTATGTGAAAATTTCTGAAAGCATTTAGTTTCTCTTTCTTTTCTTCTAATGACCTCATAAATATGCAAATTCGACAAAATATTCTTTAAATAGAGTCTGTGTAGAATCTGAGATTGCTTTAATATGCTCATCCACAGTGAAACTGATGCACCCACCTTTATTAAAAAGCAGATATTCTTTCTGTTAGTTCCCTTTCTCCACTCTTCATTTCTATTAAAAAATAAAATTCGTAAAAACAAATGACAGTCTAAGTACCTTTTATTACATAATCTCTTGAGAAAATTCTTTGAGAAATTCATATGAACTGTGATCAAGATTTGACCGAATAGTTCTAAAATAATTGGGAGAAGTAGGTATATGCAAGCATTATATTTGTAAAATCTCAGCAAAATTGAAATAAGTAATTCTAGCAATTCCTTCGGCAAATCGGGAAATTAATCGAAATTTAAATTTAGAATCAATTATGAAGGTCTTGGAAATGCCATGAAGACAATTAACAGAAGAAAATTTTTTATCGATGAAATCATCTTCAGAGGCTGTACAGTCGTATTTATATTCACTAAAGAATTTATAGTAGTCAGCTATCGAGTAATAGGGGTGATATAATTACTTATAAGTGGCTTCGAAAGTAGAAGTAAATTACGTAATACTCAATGGCACAAAGGAAGAAAGCGCTGGAAATTTGATAAGGTCAAAATTGTTATTGAATGAGAAGAAAGGCAGTTGAGTGTCCATTTAACAGGTATGAAGAGGATGAGAAAATGTACAAAAGGAGCTTGTGAGAGTGGTAATAGTGAATTAATTATTAAAGTAAAAGCAAACTAATCATTAAAAATAAAATAATGAATTTACAGGGAATGACTAATGAAGGGGTTAAGACCATGGTAGAGTAAGAGACTGGATAAACTTTTCTGCCTACAAAGTTCGGTGTTGAACTGATGAATTGCCAACGCCTCCACCAGATACAAATGCCGAGACCCAACGCCCTTTGTACCATTTGCTTCACTTTGTAGATAATCTTGAAAGAAGACTGTAGTGGAGCCACGTGGCTTGAGTTCACCAAGTGCTCGATAATTGAGCTCGTAACTGTCTTGCATTATCCTTTTGCTAACCATGCTGGATAATGTTCAGAGATGCGTTTGGAAAGTGTGCACCTTGCGCCGCCAATATAACTGTGTCTGCGCTCCACGTTATTTACACTTATAGGGGTTCTTTATCGTCAAACAGAAGACATTGCTATGGAATTGCCAGTGCCTCCAATAGTCGCCAGTCTGTTAATGCACTCACTAGAAACATATGCAGTTATGAGTTGCTCTAATACTCCAATAATATGGTTAAGATATGTGAATGATACCTTAGTCATAATCAAATGCAGTATGTTGAAAGAACTTTTTCATTTAATAGACAGTATGTCAAAAACCTGGATTGTTTCGCAAAAAAGCAACCAGATGGTAAGCTTAAATTAAACCTCTCCAAAGGCCGACACATTCGGACAGATATCTAGACTACTTTTCAGCACAGCCCTTAACCACCAACGTAACTGTGGTCAAGAATCTGATTAACAGAGCTAAACTTCTGATACTGAAAAGGAGATCAACAGGGAACTAAAACTGGTTCAGTCCAGTATTGAATCAATAATTATCCCAGAGCCTTTATACAAGGATATTAAAAATGTGAAGATAAGGATAAATCGAAACCTGTTGCTAAGATCTGGGTTAGTACAGTGGTGATTCCTTACCGCAAAGAAACATCAGATGAAATAAAGCTAATCCTTAACAATCATGACAGGAGTGTATTTGCATACAACTTACACCTTACGCTGATCACTGGTGAAGGTTTAGGATAAAATAAAAGAAGACAACCAACAGAATTGTGTGTATCAGATTAATTATGAGGACTGTGACACCGTATATATAGGAGAAACTTCCAGACAAGTAAATATCAGAGTGAAAGAGCATGAAGTTGGTTTCAAAGACCTCTGCAGACTTGAAGAAGCTAGAAAACAGATCGGTGATTGCACTGCATTCGATAGAAACGGGGACACAAGATCGAATCTGATAGGACTAAGGTCCTACAGAAAGGTTTTGGCTCGTATAAAGAAAGATATACTGCGGAAGCCCTACATATATGGATGAATCCCAAAAGTTTAAACAGACGTGAAGGTGTGATGTTAGCTGATGGATGGCAATTCCTGATTAATAAATAAAAATGAATGCATATAACTAATCAATCCTCCTTGATCTAAATTCCCGATTGTGTATATCTCATGGAGAGACTGACAAGTGATTTACAACTGCTGCCGCATACACACACCATTGTATACTGCACATACAAATACATGTTTTTCATATTCAATTTATCTACGACCATGAACTTTAGTCGAACGTAATCACTAAAATACTGATGAAGAAGTACACTCAGTTCACAGTGTTCAACAAAAGTAGCCTAATATTTGTAAGTCTGAGGTCAACTTTTGATCACAGTTCATGCAATTCTGTTTATTATAATTTGATGCCTGTTTCATGACTCATATGATTGGACAAAGTTTTTTAAAAACAAGAGATATTCTTTTTTAAACAGTTGGTCACGGATCGCTATCAGTTAGAGAACAATTGAAAACCAGGGAGTACTGGACAGCTGTTTCATCCTAGTTTGGGAATCATAGGCAGTAGGCTACTGATGAGCTACAGGATGAAGTTATTTGAAGTCCTAGTGAGAAGTCTTGACTAA